TTTAATCACTAAACTCAGCAAGAATAGACCCAGCTTAATTTTCCTTGTACAGAGCATATTTTCTAAAGTCTCCTGAATGGGCCAAATTCTTCGCTGTTCTAATTCCACTGAAGTAGTGCTCCCAGCCTCTTCGCTACCACTTGATTGGGGATTCTGACCAGCAGTTTGTGCAGTTGCAGACCCTCTCACCCTGCCCCCGAAAATCTTTCACAAAAGAGTGGGAGAGAACTGTTGTGCAGCACTATTTTTCAGTGTGCTGGGAAAAGAGAATTCCTGCTGTGGGGATTCTCTGTGGATAGGATCCCCTGTGCAGTGGAATTGTGATAGTATCTTGGTCTTTGAGGTTTTCTAGTAGGGCTTCCAGACTTGACCTGGAGGATACTCCCTCCCTCCCTCCCTCCCTCCCTAAACTGTACTATAGGTGCTCATCCTATGCCCTGAACACCTCATCCATAAGTTAAAAATCAGAATAAACAAGGAACTGCACATAACTACATCCACCTTAGATCAGCCTCTCCTCGACAACCTTGGAGAGGAGAGAAAATCAATGGCCTTTGCAGCATGCCCAGAAGGTTAATAATGCTGGGCTCTGGCAGACCAAGTGGGGAGCAGGTTCCAAAGCCAAGGACCCCTCACAGATGGCATCCTGCCAGCAGCTCCTTCTCATTTATATTAAGGTAGCTCCAGCTCAAATACGTCTCCTGATCTCATTTGTGGTAGCATACTACAGGCACAGAGGCAATCTCTCAAGTGACCAGATCCCAAACCATTTGGTGCTTTATGAGTTAAAAAACCCAACATGTTGAAGCCCACCTGGAAGCTTATTGGAAATCAGTGCAGATCATGGAGTAGTAAAAGAACAAAAGGTTAGAAGTTTATAGAGATTCTTGCACTCAGAGGTTTGGACTATATGACCATACCCTACAGTTTTATTAATTATTATTATTATTATTCATGATGGTCCAGATTCTGCCTCCTTTCCTCATGTTGAGTACCACCCTGCAATCAGTGGAACTACTCACAGAGTAAGATACTATTCAACATAAATCAGGGTGGCAGGATTTGATTCTCTGTGGTGCAACTGCAGAGAGGAATTAAAATAGAGGAATGCTAACTGCAGTATCTTATTACTGATATTATAGTCATTCTGCAGTTAAACTCCCACTGACTCCTAGGATGTTTTTCCTTTATCTTTTTGTGAAATCAACAACAGCAACCACAAAAGCCTACCAGCAAAAGTCACATTGTGAATTTCTTTGCTCAGTTCCAAGTGCCTTATGTGTTTTTCAAAATGCTGATGTATTTGGGAAGTGGTTGCAGTATTTTGCATACCTTCTATTGCAAAATACTGCAATACTTCCAAAAGAAAGTTAGAATGAGAGGGTAGTTATGACACACAGGATACAAATTTAGGTTACAGCCAACTACTGTCAATATCACTGTATATAATCAAACCATGTGAAATGGGTTTTACATTGCACCAAGTGGCTTACCAGGAGGTTTCCCCAATGACCTCTGTGGTGCATAGTTTTATATTATTAAGTGTAACTTGGAAATAGAAGAAACTGATATTGATGGGATCTGTTCTTCATTTTGCACATCAGCTCAGCCAGGAATGTTTTAAGGAAACCAAAACAACAATAAAAGTGAATTAAAGACCTAGCTGCAGGCCCAGATGACTATTATTGCCCCTATCAGGTTTTTCAGTATAATTTTGGCAGGTCAGTAACCTTACGTGGCATCATTAATGTTGTTCTGTCTGAATATGCAAACTATGAATTAGCCAGGCTTAACTGGAAAATTGTTTCAGACTGCTTAACTATGTAAAGTGGCCTAATTGCTCTGATTTAGCTACAAAAACCAGAATGTAACTTTCTTGACCCTAGGGTTTTAATAATTGTCTGAGAGGTGCTAATAGGCAGGTTTATTAATAGAGGTGATCTGAAAAGGCCCTGATAGGCTGAAGGAATAGCTCAATATAACCTACATTATAATACCACAGTACTAGACTTCATATGCCCAGCATGTAGTTATTAAAAAAAAATCCTTCTGGGAAAGTGGTTTTGCACTATAATCTCTCTCTTAAGCCTCCGGCATTCTATTAATATTTTAAAACTATTAACAAAGTAGCCTAAGTTACAGCCTGTGATCCTGAGTTTATGAAGCGATCCATGAAGGTGGACGCTCCCATCAGCGTGGAGTTCAGCTGTGTACACTCACACAGATCCTTTTATAGGATTGGCTCCTAGAAGCCTAGGCAATACATGAAAAGCATTTATAACCACAAAATGAGAGTTTGTCTGCCTATCACTTGAAAAATACCAGATCAACTGAAACTAAAGTTAGTACAAATTGATACTATTAAAAAACCAAACCAACAAAAAACACACCTAAAGTGAGGACTTGATTTCCAAGTTTCAGCCCAGAGTGAGTTATTAGGAAAAGTTCGTTGTATCTTAGAGAAAACTGCATTTACAGTGAATTGGAAGCAGATTCTAGACTAATAATAATAATAAAAACAGTAACAACAACAGTAACAATAATAATAATACTATCTTGGACTTTCATTCAAGGATCTCAAAACACTCTACAAAGATGGCTATTATTCCCATTTTACAGATGGGGAAATTGAGGTGAGAAGTTAGATGTCTTGACCAAGTTATCACAGTGAGACTGCAGTAGAATCAGGAAGAGAAACCTACAGCTCCTTCATCCCAGCCATCCACTCTAATCACTAGAACAGCAACATTTTCACAGTAATCAAACTTTAGGCAACTAAGTTTGTTTACAAGACTGTACTTTTTAGTAATGGCAGTGACCTTGCTTTAGAAAAAATTAAAGCTTTTAGAAAAGGGTTTTTTAATGAAAAAATCCACAATCTGTATGTTTAAATCATGCTATGTCACAGGAAATTTAAAACAAACAACAACAAACAAACCAGTAAAGTCTTCTAAAGGGTGTCCTTGGAAACAGGTAGAGAGAAAAGGGATTTCTGTTCTGATTTCTGAAAGGAGCCTTTTGGCATCTTTATGGATGTTTATTATCAGAATTACCTGCGGATTGCAGGTATGTATCTTCAAGTTCAGCACAGCTCTACTGATCTGTGCATAGTGGCAGCCAGTGATCAAAGGGCTAGCTATTTTCTGCTACTGATCCATTCACTTCTATGCTTTATACATGATAATGGACACCAAGTGATGGTGATATTCTTCAGTGTTAATATTGAAACAGTAAATAAAAGCAATTTTGATTACCTCAGTACAGGGTTTGATAAAAAAATGATTTAACAACAAATATTTGTAAAAGCTGCAAAATCACAATTCTGTTCATGTTTTTGTCAACAGTTTTGGGAAAATGAAAAGCAAACAATACTGCAGTCAAAGCCAACACTTTCCTCTAGATTCTGCTGGGATCCACTAAAACAAATTAAACATAGTCTCTCAAAGTGTGCGGTTCTCATTTTGGGCCTGTAAAACAGCATTTTGCTGGTACATACTGCCTAGCAAGATACTCTATGGGCATGTGCTACATGGGAATACTCAGGAAATTTAAGCTGAATGAACTAAAGTTGTGAATTTAAAGCACCCAAACCCCAGCGTGGATGCTGTCATTCAGAAGTAAAGTGGTCTTAGTCTACAAGTGGGAGTTCTACCAAAGCTCTGAAGCTTAAAGCTATGGCAATGCTCTGAGTGATTATATTGCCGGTCTGTAGAAAAGGATTCTTTCTCTCAGGACCAGTGAAGATTTCCCCAGAATATAGCCTGGCTGTTTGGGCTGAGAACTAGAGAAAGCATTTGCCCCCCAGGAATATTAGAATCCTACAGTGTTGTTTCTTCTGAAAAGAGCTAGACAAAAAGGTATTTTCCTCCTGGTGCAGAGGGATTTCTCTTGAAACCCTGAGATTGTCTAATTTTGTTCTTTTGTTTAACCACTCACCCTTCTCATATGAGTCTCACATTCCTACTTATTAATTGTACAAGGGTGGTGCACAAAGGCCCGATCAGTACTGGGGCCCTGTTGTGCTAGGTCAGAGGTGGGCAAACTACGGCCCGCGGGCCACATCTGGCCTATGGGACTGTCCTGCCTGGCCCTTGAGCTCCCGGCTGGGGAGGCTAGCCCCTGGCCCCTCCCCTCCTGTTCCCCCTACCCTGCAGCCTCAGTTCGCCACACCGCCAGCGCTCTGGGCTGCGGGGCTGCGAGCTCCTGCCAAGCAGCACAGCTGCAAGAGGTGCAGGCCTGCCCTGGTGCTCTAGACTGCACGTCGGTGTGGCTGGCTCTGGACGGGAGGCGCAGCTGCCTGTCCTGGTGCTCTGAGCGGCATGGTAAGTGGGCGGGGAGCGGGGTGGGTTGGATAAGGAGCAGGTGGTCCCTGGAGGGGGCGGTCAGGGGACAAGAAGCGGGGTGGGGTGGGTGGATGGGTTGGGGGTTCTGAGGGGGCAGTCAGGGGGTGGGAAGTAGGAGGAGGTGGATGGGGGTGGGGGCCAGGCTGTCTGGGGATGCACAGCCTTCCCTACCTGGGCCTCCATACAGTATCTGAACCCCGATGTGGCCCTCAGGCCAAAAAGTTTGCCCACCCCTGTGCTATGTTCTTTACAAACACACAGGTAAGCGCACTCCCTGACCCACACAGTTTACCATCTTTCTAAACCACACAGTATTTGGATATTTTCCCCATCAGATTCTGGATTGCAAATTCTAAACACCTTTCAACAGGGCTGTGTTCCACTTCAGATAAGTGACAGCTATTATCTAAACCCCCAAATCAAGAATATATTTGGCTTTCACATTATGAAATTTCTAATAATCAAAGTTTGTACTTAAAATGACCAGATCTCCTGTCATCAGCTGGGAACTAGTCTTAAAGGGACTTTTATTAGTAATGGGTTGGCTAATTTTAATCAGAAAACAGACTCTTGTTACATGTCCCTGGTGTGTTATGAATGTATGTTAAAACCAACAATTATTTAGATAGATAAGGAAATTAAAACAAATCTACTTACTTATTTTATTTCTTACTTCATTTACTTTTTCTCCGAGAGATTTTGCTTCAGCAAACCTAATGACAGAAACAGAGTAACAGGTGGAGTTACTCAAAACTACAGCTAGAGGTATTTGTTGAGAATAAATTTTCTAACAAATCAAGACTGTATTTCTGTTTGCAAATTAGCTGCAAACTCATTACTGTGAACAATTTATTATCCGTAAGTAGAGTTGGTCACATTTTTTTAGATGGGACAGATTTCTATTGCAAAAGGCAATTTTGTTCAACTTGAATGTGTCAATTTTGACAAAATTTTTGACTGAAAAAAGTCTAAATTAATCATTATGACTTTCTTGTTTTGTTTTGATAGTGTCAAAAAGTTTCATTTAATTTTGTTTTGACTTTTATATTATATGGAAATATTACTTTTAATATTACATGCAATATTTAATATGGTAATATAACACAAAAGTAAAAACAAAATGAACTGAAACAATGTCAAACTGAACTGTTTTTACTTACTGAAACAACATGCTTTTTACCTTATCAAAACTAAATGATTCGATGGTCACAAACTGAAATTTTGTGGCTTCTTTGTTTCATAAGAAGTTATGAAATTGTAGCTTTTCATTCCAATTCAGAAGAATTAAAAAAAAAAAAAAACCCAAAATGTCAGAATATCTTAGGGAACAGAAATTCCGATGTCTATTTGTAAAGATTCACTGAATAGTTTGGATGAAAATTTTTCAGCTTATGAGCTGTGTGCAAACTGCTGACATCACTATTCATTATTTGTGATGTGTAACTGGTCACCCAAGTCACATAGTAAGGCTCCCTAACAAAATTTTAGACGGGAGAATAAGAAATGATGAATAGTGGAAATTATTAATACTCGTTTGTCCACAGATACCCTTCTTTGTATGCAAATGCAGGTATTCAAACAAAAAACCCAGCCAGAATCCAAACATTTGTTGAACTGAAACCCATCCATATGAAAGCTTTCACACAGTCAATGAAAAGGGGCCTGAACATGGTGGAACTGAATCAATGACTTCAAAATTCAAATCAATGTATGGAAACATTATTTTTGTAGCATTCAACCAGCTCTATGCATAGCTGGAAAAGAGGTTTCAAATATGTGACATTTCCCTCAGTTTATTTCATACTCTGTCAAGGATTATAACTGATAAACACCCATAAATTAAATACCTTTTCTTTCAAGCAAATTTTTGTCCTTAATTTTCTTTTGCACTGTTCCAGTAATACAACATTTTCCTTTTACTTAATACTACACATTTGTACCCTCCTTATACTGGCACAGATTGAGGTCTTCTAGTGTTACCATCTTGGGATAGTGGTTTGACGGAAAAATTGACCTTGGTCAATACTTGGACGGGAGACCAAGGACAACCCAGCCAGCTGCAGGAAGTGGTGTTGGTGATTCAGTAAATGGCTTTTCCCTCTGTTTTTGTACTGAGCTAATTAACCCTCATGTTTCTAGGGAGTGTTGAAAAAGAAAACTGAGGCTTTGACCACTTGTGGTAATTAAAGATCCCAGGGAACTTTTCGCAAGAGTAGGGATGTTAACCCTGGTGGCCTGGCCAAGTTCTAGAACTGGTAATAACATTCCTACAGCAAGTTTCAATTGTTTTTAACCTTAAGTCCTAAACTGGTGTGTGGTATTTCTATGTCTGCTTAAATTGTCACTTTATTCTGTCATGAAGATGACTGCATTTCAGCGGCAGGTGAGTGATTCCTGCATGTGTAACATATGTACAGCTATTTTGGGCCCTTCTGGATGTGATATCATAACACAATGAATAACACTTTTAGTGCTGTACATTTCCAAAGCACTGTACAAACATTAACTAAACAAACCCTATAACACCCTTTGGAGGAAGGTATTGGCACCCCAATTTTAAAGGTGGGGAAACTGAGGCACAGAGCAGTTACATGAATTGCCCTAAGCCATGCAATGAGTGTAGTGCAATTCATAAGTTCCTAGCTCCTAGCCTTTTGTTCAAGCATCTATACCACACTGTCTTCATGTAGTCTTCACAGTAGCTTCTCCGCATAAACGTACAATGGTAGTAGTTTAAGTCATGTAAACAATGGTAAAATTAGTTGACTGTTGGAGTGACAGGTGAGACTATAAGCTCATTGAGGCAGGGGATATCTTTTTGTTCTCTGTTTGCAATGCATAGCACAATGGGTTTCTGGTCCATGACTGGGGCCTTTAGGTAATTACTATGGTGACACAAACAAACAATTTCCTTATTTCTTATTTCATGAAAGATGACTGCAATGCTTAACTAATAACACTAACAATGTTTCTAAATTAACTAAGTTGAAAAATTCCTTGTTATCCCCTAAGGATCACATCCTCATGTATTATTCAAAATAATCTGCAGTAATTGGTTTCTGCAATCTGCAGTGGTTTCTGTTCAGCCAGAAATGTGATGTAAGGCAGTATTCCTTTTCCAAAAAACTAACAATTAGCATTCTCAACAAACTTGCTTCATCTATATCCTTACAAGGTGCCCATCACCATGATATCTGAGCACCTCCCAAAAAGAGCAGCCAAAAGATAGGATCCAGTAAGTGGACTAAATTTCTCCATCTTCCCTAGGAGGCTGCTAGAATTTTCCTACCCCCTGCTTCCTTTGCCCTTTCTGTTAAACAGGTTGCAGTATCCCAGGCTGTTTGTGCTATTACTGCATCAGTTGACAGAATCACTAGCCTGCCAGTATCTAACCCTGCAATTTGTAAAGCTATTTAGGGTACATGGTATACAAAATACACTCTGTAACACCAAATTTATTCTATTTTCATGGTAAAGGAAATTATCTCTATATTCAATGGAACAGTTGAAAAAGTCCTGAGGGATTTGAGGTATATTACAGGAAAACTCCATTGTAATAATCAAAGAAGGAAATAAATACCAGAGGGGTGATTTGCTGTATCAAGGTTGTTGTGGTGCGGCACTAGACTTGTTGTGAAATTCTGAATGGTTACTTAGATGTGTATAGTGATTCCTTGCAGGGTTTGGAGGCAAAACTACTGTACTTGACAGTTAACGGAGCCTTCCGCTGATCTGGATGAGCCCTGCTCTAGCAGAACCTGCTGCGGAAATCCACAAGTTGTATTTCTGTCTAGCTCAAACAGCAGTGATGTAGAGTTAAGAAATATTGCTTTCCCACGAGGGAGATGTGGTTTGGGTAACTGCCCCATCTTAATTAGTCAATTTCCCCCTCAGACTAAGTATTTTGGACCACCACATTCACATTTGTTCATGCTCACTTACTGTTAAAGCTGAATTCAGCATGGATAAGTATCCTCTACGAGAAGGTTCCTTGACACTTGCTATTTATGACACAAGTAGGGAGAAGCCTTAGAAACATTCACTTGCCATCTTCTGTTTTTATAAGCTACTGTATTTCCATGAGCATTGACTTAATACAATCAAAGGGATCTCCTGCAGTCTGGGCAGAGATCTAAGAGAAACCTCCAAATGGCCTCTTTCTCTCTCTCCTCCCAACCCTTGGGCCAAATCCTGAGTTCCTTACTCACTGTTTCTTAATCTGTACTCAGGTAAAACGCCTATGATTGAGTAAAAACAAAACAAACACTTCTGGGGTCAACCCACTCATTGAATTATGGAAAAAGTGTAGTTTCTGATTTTTTTCCAAGAAGAAATCTAGCATAAGGGTGCTCTCAAGGGAGATTGATCATCAGTATGTGAACATTAATGTTTACTGGTCAGTTAAGCAACTGTATTCGTGCAGTCCATAGGAAATTCACATGTAGCCTGAGTGAGTTCCCTCACTCACAGTTCCCTCAAGAAGACTGTTGTTGCTGAGACAGGGATTTTAGTTGCCATCATAAGTAAAACTCATAGGGTGAAATCTTTGTCCCATTGAAATGAATGGGAGTTTGGCCACTGACTTCAATGGTGCAAAGATTTCATCCTTAAAATGCAAATATGACATATCCTAAATAATTTTTTTTGAAATATAAGTCTCTGTTTAATTAGTCAGTGTAAGAGCTGACTCTCTTGGAGGCCATCAAATGGGAGAACGAACACACTTAATTTAGCACTCATTTATTACAGGCTATTAGGTGGCACAGCTCGATTCCGTTAAGGATTATTCCAGACTCAATCACCATGGGCCAAATTCAACCCTTGGTAAGTACTGACCACAACAGTTAAACCAGGAGTGAATTTGACACTGTGGTATCAAAGCATATTAACAAAAGCTTGTCAGTTGAGGAGAAAAGGCAAAAATGGCCTAAGTTGGCAGATTGGAAAGTTGAGACTTAAAGAGGAAAATAAGTGGAAAATCTGATGTAGGAGAACGAAGAAACTGAGAGCTTGTCTACATGGTGTGTTTCAAACGGGACCACCAGCAGGGTCCATACAGCCCAGACAGTGCAGGGCACACTAGTGTGCACTAGAATTTACACCTCTGTGGCACACATTAATGAACCATGTGGAGAAGCCCTCAGACCAGCTTTACATTATACCTCTAAATTACAGTGAGATCTTGTAATTGGAAACATATGCTGGGGCTGGGTTTAGAATGTCTGGTGCAGCATGGGAGGCTAGACTGTAGTGGTTCAAATGGGACGAGTTTTCATGCATGTTTCACTGGAAAATGAGATTTAAGATTCTTCTTCACTTCAAGGAACGGATGCTAAGCAAAGCCTCTCCTCTCCTCAATGCCTTGGAAGGCACAGACATTAGTAAGCTTTTTGGAGGTCTAGCGTAGGAAGTCAAAGGCCTGGAACTCTGCCTCTGTGTGGTTACAAATATAGGCATTTAGGCAGTGCCAGTGGGCAGCAGCAGTTTTCACTTTAGAGGACAGAAATGAATAGCAACTGTTTTGTGCCAGATGCATACATGTCTGCAGGAGTGCCCCTTCTACCTCATGAGGCCACTTGTTTAGTGTTCCCCAAGGCCAGCTGAAGTGAAGGGGCAGCTAAAGTCTATTGAAATGAAGAAACCCTACATTCAGTTTCTCACTTGAACAGTGACTCATTGTGTGACCTTCATCAAGAAACGAATCCTTAATGTACCTCAGTTTCCCCATCTGTAAAAACTGGGGAAAGACATAGTGACACACCCCTGGGAAGTTCTTTGTGGTTTACAGATGAAAAGCAATATTTACAAAGTTTAAAATACATATTTCCCTTATGCACCTTGTTTTAAAGGAGCACCTGATTTTTCTTGTATTTCAGTTACACGAAGGCACCTCTAGAAAGCATCTATATAGCTGGCTCCCAGTGCCCAAAACATTTGAATTGTTATAGTTAGTGTTACAGTCGAGCTTTTAATTTTATGTTAACTCACAACCAACACAAATAATATAACTAAAATGGAAATGAAAAGAAAAGAAAATTCACCCAATATAAGGTAAAAGAGAGGGGAAAAACAAGAGAAAAAAGAGAAGAAAAAAGCAATTAAAATATAAATACATTTAATCAAATGCTGCCATGATATGACAGAAGTGGTTATGCTACTGTACACAAAACTATGAGCATGAGAGGCTTGCATATACGGGAAAGGTATGGTAACCTTTAAATATGTGTTGTGCATAAGATCTTTACTGTGCAATTTGCAACTGGTGGTTCAGCAGCTGCATTCCAAATTACAGACTTGAGATGAATCCATTTTTAACAAACGTAATAAACTTTGAGCTTCAAATCTCGTTTGCTAAAGTCCACTGCAAACAGCATGAGAAATGATTTCCAAATGCATCAAGAGTCCCACAGCACTTGTGAATAATGACAATTGCTATTTATTAGAAATGGGGTACCCCAAGAGTGTGGGTCTGAATTCCCTTGAAATTTGGGGAAATATGAATCTGGTACCAAACTTTGTGGTTTGGGCCCATCTCTACTATATATTCAGAATATAAAAGGAAATATGCATTTTCCTTCACAATGCTTTATGTCAGAGAAATTGATAAAAACATGCATTAAGTCCACGAAATCATGGTCTGGATTTACCACTGTGTTACTCCAATTTTATGTTGATGTAATGCCACTGAAATCTTTATTTATAAACTGTTTTATTAGTTCTTGAAAGGAAGAGATGCAAGGAATGATCACATTAAATGAACAATTTGATCTATTTATCATCAGAATACAGACATTTCTAAACAGGATAGTTCAAATAAATACTTATCTACTTCTTACACTCTCATCATCTTGGTACTTGAGCGTCAGAGAATAGAAGATGTAGACATAAGAATGAAGTTATGCAGTTCAGAGAAGGTGAACAAAAAACTAATAAACAGTGAGTTTCAGAATAAAATGCAGAGAGGAGAAGGAGATAACCTGGGGCCTGATTTTCAGAGATAATCTGAAGTTAATGGAAATGGCAGGTGCTCAGTGCCTCTGAATATAAGGCCTTTGGTGCACAGGAGGTGGGAGACCACTCTAAGGATGAAGCCAGGAAGGGGAGGAGATAAAAGGAAAAGTTGGGAGAGAGACACAGGAATATAAAAAGTGAGAAAGGTATTATAGATCCACCTTCATACCTCTGATCACCTCCCAAATGCCTTGTTTGTCATTGAACGCTGTGGGTATGCTGTGTATATATGCCACATGCAGAAGTGGGAATGACATAACACTGTTGGCCAGTTGGCATTATCTGATATTGTGCTATAATTTCCAGGATTATCACTGTCTTCCTTGCTGTGGATTACTACTTTTAATATGCTGCTCTTCTCTAGTCCCTTCCATCCGAAGAGCTCAAAGTGCTTTACAACATTAATATGTGCGGGAGGAAAGTATTGTTATTTCTATTTGAGAGAGATCGGCACAGAGAGGTTAAAATGACTTGGCCAACAACACACAGAAAATCAGTAGTAGAGGACTAGAACACAGGTTTCGTGAGTCCCTTTGGTATCTTAATTCAGTGCCTGAGCCTATAAAACTCTTTCCTACAATGGAAATTATATTAATGAAAGTAGTGGTCACATGACTCCAACTTCCTTTACATAATTCAAAACTATCAATGCCATCCTGCCATCTATATTCTCTAGGGCTTGTGAGAGAAGAACAGTAATGCTCTGTGACCAGCCTGATTGCTCCTTATATTCTATTCTATTCAGGTTCTTATATAATGCCCCCAATCACCTGATGGGCAATAAATCTTTCCCGCAGGCATAGATTGCTGCTGCCCCAAGTTTAAGTTTGAAGCTTGAAACATAGTTCACAAGAGTCATTGTGAGCCCTTAAAGCCATGGCTGTGGCTGTATCTAAATGTGACACTCACTCACCTCTGTTTAAGAAGCTGTTTGTTGTCCTCGATGGTTATGCTGTCCACATAATCCCTCTTGAAAATTTCAAAAGCCTCCTGACGTCCAAGTGACATTTCTCCTCCTGATCCTGCCCACAAAATAAGTCAGAACTGGCTCAGTGGCAGCTGAAGATAGTTCACATTTGCTTTATTACTGTTGCAGACAAATATTACAGCAAGCCAGCATACAAGTCCTTTAGCAATCAACAGTCAGTAACCAGACTCCAGCTTCTGCCAAGAAAAAAGGTATTTTGGAAGCAGGTAAATCTTTTACTGACAAATTTCATTGATTTACTTCATGTGGGCATCTTCAAACCTGAATTCTTAATTTTTCAAAATTATTTTAATGCTCCCTTAAATAAAACCAGAGTCTAAAAAAAATCTAAGTATGGCAAACAATGGCAAGTGAAAACACTGGTATTTTCATAATGGCAAATTGCAAATTTTTCTGCGTTCCTCTTTCATCCCCCATTGCTGGTTTCCAGTTACCATTACTATGCAATGCCACAGAGCACGTTATGTCATATTTTAGCGCAAAGACCACACACTGAATATTTTCAGTTCACATGTGGAGAGAGACTTTGGGCTTTATTTAACTGTACATAAACGTTAACTTCCTTCAGTGACAGGTCAGGTACTGAACACACAGAAATGGGCTGAATCCTGCACAGCACAGTTGCACTATTGAGTATATAAGTGTAAGGAGAAAAGAGAGGAGGACACAAAACACCAGAAAACTATGCATGATAGCGTGATGCCTTGTCTCTGCAGACATGCACATTCTCTGCCTTTGCTCTAACACTTTGTCCCCCTTTTTTGTATATGTCCTACGCTTTCATGAATAAGAAAGCAGGAACACAAGAGGGTTGAGACTTACTACACTACTTGCCACACACTATTTGCCCCTAAGCATAGCTCCAATTACACGTGTATCTGAATACAATAACCATGCTCCCCTGTCTGTCCATCAGAGGGATCAATACGAATTTAGCATCCAAAGCTGATTTCTTTATAAACACTATGGAAAAGTCTCATATAGAAACTGCAAATCTGCCATAGTAGCCAGCTATTACACATTAGCTCTCAGTGCTAATTGGCCCACAGCTCCCTATAAGCAGTTACTGAGCTTGGTATCACCTATTTAGAAATTCAAAGTTTTAAGGTGATTCCAAGCTGACATAATTATCTTATGTTTATTTATTTATGTGTCAATAAATACTAATGAAGACAGGGTGAGATTCCCAGTGAAGCACATGAGAACTGTGCAGGGAATGGAGGTGAAGTGGAGGGGATGGAATCCAGCACCCACACTGTGGGAAAGACACAGATTAGCTAAGCAACCTCTACATCGCTACTAATCCATCCTCTAGGTAGGAACAGGGGCTACAAGCCCTATACATTCCCTACGGGGAGGCTTGTAGCCACTTGATACTCTTCACTTGTGTCTTTTCTCTGGCCCATCCTCAATTCCTCCTCCTTAGTGGGTCATACAGAGCTAGCATGAAGCCCAACTCTCTTACGTATAGAAGATGTGGAGCCTTCTGGAATGCCTGTTCCAAATACCATCCAATGAAGTATGGAAGTTCTGCTGCACAGCAGTCTTTCAGAACACCTATGATACTGGGTTAATATCACCTATTATATATACACATGTAAAATATCATGGCTGCATGCTTTGTTAGTTACTTTGATTTAAATGTAAGGGAGATGGACATCATTGAAACTTAAGTCTGAACAGATCTTGAGACAAGCTGAATTAAGTGTATTTGAACCCAGCCCAGCTTGCATGGAAAACCTTTGTATTAAAATTAGCTGGCCCTTATTCTGATACCCCTAATCATGCTGAGTATACCTTATTCCATGATTACTGCCTGCAGACCGAGGCGCTATTTAGCATGAGAGAAGGTAACAGCATCTACCTCTCAGTGATGAACAACCAGGACTAGGGTGACCAAATGTCCTGATTTTATTGGGACAGTCCTGATATTTGGGGCTTTGTCTTATATAGGCGTCTATTGCCCCCTTGTCTTGATTTTTCACACTTGCTGTCTGGTCACCCTAACCGGGACAACAAGTAAAAAAATAAAGTTTTCACTAAAAGTATACACCAAAATATTGTCTTAAGTTTTAATCAACATTAACAGCACATCTGCTGCTAATTTAAAAATTTGCCTTGAAAAAATAGCCCCAGAAGGAACAACTGAATGGCAAAGCATGCAGAAATGCACCACCTTTTTCAAAAAGAGAAGTTAAAACGGAGAGACTCAGTGCAATCGACACATCTGTACAGCCCAAGTGAGCAGAAGGGGATATAAAGGGATATTTTGTATGATAGTGACCTGAAATGATTGCTCCTCTTTCATGTCTGCCTTGAAGCAGCAGTTTAGTTTTACAAGTGAGATTTTATATTGTTTTCTTCCCATCGCCAGCATTAAATCTAACCTGCAACCTGAACTGGATGCTAGATCTGCTCTTTTTTTGTGCGTGTGCATGTGTGTGTGTGCAGAGCTTCAGTGTGCTTGAGTTAGGCGCAGCAAGCCTCCATGACATGCACAGCTGAGTCCAAGAAAAACAATGCCACATCCTTACTGTTGGGTACTGCTGCAACCTAAGGACCTCAGTCCCTCTTGCAACACCCCCATCATTGCTCCAGATTGTATACCCACCCCATCACTGCCAAACTCACATGAAAAGAATCATCATGGTCACCTGGACTCTTAAACAGAGCTGATTTGCAGGAAAACTGTCTTGTTAGACAATCTCTTTTAACATAAGTGAAAACTAGTTGCCCAGGATTCTTGGGAAGATCAAAATTTCTGGTTTATTGATTATTCTGCCATAATAAAATACAGAAATATATTCAACAGTAAATAATTGTATTCTGAAAATGGTGTCCAAAGAGAACTATTAGGAGATGGGACAAGCCATTAAGGCTTGGACAGAAAAACCAGGAGTGTAGGAAATAAGTGTCTAGACATAATGCAAGCAGAAGACAGTCTGCAGAAGAATGCTGGGCCTGAGGAGAATGATGGAAAGACTTTTGGAGGCAGGGAAGTGAGGGAAATACAGCAGAGTCAGCAGAAGAAATCAAGAAACTGCAAAGAACATGGGGAGCTTGATGGGCTGGTAGAAAGATATTATTCCCTCATGGCTAAGCTTTTGTTCTATTCAGTAATGAAGATGAATATGGTTTCCAAGTGGACTCCTTTTCCCACTCCTGATTCTGTGCCTTCTTCCATGCTACCTGTGATACTCGGAATGAACTCCAATTTCACTAAGCAGTCTCCCACTCTACTTTCACTTCCATGAGGAAAAGAACCCGATCATTGCTGGTATGGTATCCCTGTTTGAGCTTGCAGACTGCATAAGGCATTGCTTTCTGTTTTGTAGATTTTTCCCTGATGTAAAGTGGTATGTACGTCTATATCAATATGTTTGCAATATTGTTGTAACCACATTGATCCCACAATATTAAAGAGACAAGGTGGGTGAGGTAATATTTTTTATTGGACCAGCTTCTGTTGGCTGAAAGAGACAAGCTTTTGAGCTACAAAGAGGTCAGTGCAGCTCATCAGCTTGCCTCTTTCACCAACAGAAAGTGGTCCAATAAAAGATATTCCCTCACCCATCTTGTCTCTCTATAGCACAATGCATAATAACAATACTAATAAAAACATAACTGGGAGAAAAAGCAGTCCATAATGGTAAACTATTGCTGACAAGTTAACTAAACTGCTCAGTTGTAACTACTGATGATGTGAAAAACAAGTTCTTTTACTGTTACTAGACCAGTTGTTCTCAACCTTTTTTCATACTATGACCCGATATTTTCCCTTAGAACTATAAAGAAAGGGAGGGTGGTCACAACTCACAGGTTGAGAACCTCTGTACCTATGTTGAACAAATCATTACAATGCCAATGGGAGTTATGCAGTGAAAGCAACAAAAACAGGGGTTGAGATTATCCCACAAGGGTCTAAAATTTGCCCTTAGATATCTCCATGTAATTCCACTGAGAAAGTTCCATTGACTAAGGACAGAATTTGGTTCAGGGGTTTTTACATAAACCATCTAATCTGTATGATTTAGACTTGATGTTTTACACTTGGAGATGGGCCTAAGCCCTATAGCTGAGGTTCACAGCTCATACACATTTTTTATTAGCAAGAAAATCATACATTCCTCTGAAATTTGGGGAAGTTCAGACTTGGGTCCAGATTTCAAATTCCCAAGATTGGGGGTGTACGAGTCCACGGTTTTGGTTCTGCTCATTACTGTTCCAGATCTGGAATTTGGATTTGGGGTGTTGGTTCTGGCCCATCTACATTTCTGATGCAATCCAATTACATGTTTGGTACATAAATACAAATTCTTTCAGCCAAAGGGTTTCCCCTCCTTAAGAGTACAACATGAAACAAGAACTGAATTGAGCAAGAACTGAAAAGTTTGCTGTATGCTAGTTCATCCTGGGACAAATCCTTGAAGTCAATGGTAGTCCTTCCTCAAAACAGACTGAATAAAATTGAGTAAGGCCTCAGGTGCTGGTTCATTATCTCTTGAAGTGATGCCAAACAATAAAAATGATTCCAGCACTCAGCCACGTCTATATAGGTCAGCGTTCTACAAATACTGTTAGTCAATAAAGCCTTATTCAGATGACATAAATCCAGTTTTGCCAATCAGGAAACTAATTTAAAGATCAAAGTTTCTTTATGCTATGACGACATATATCAAATGCTACTCACAGCACTACTAAACAGCAAGTACTTGGCCCCGTGGTCAAATAAAATATGGATCACAACCTCCAGTGGGGGAGATGTTTTAAAATAATGCGCAAGTCATCATCAGTGCTAATACCAACGGGACACAGCCTCCTTGCAAATCGAGAACCACCCAGATCAATCTCTGGCAAGGTGCTTAAGGTGGTCTGGTTGTAAATTCAGTTTATATTTATCGCTGGCAATCTTCTTGTGTCACCAAAGCTTTTCATTCCCACCTAATCACCGGCCATGTAACAGCATTCCTTGATACACGTGCTTCAGAAATTTGTTAGTTTTCTGTTCTAATAATTTCCATACCAAGGAAGCAG